TTTGAACAGGTCCCGAGGGAGGCTGGAGACATTGAGTCTGAGTGGACTATGTTCTCCACTTCCATTGTTGATGCGGCTGCCCGAAGCTGAGGCCGTAAGGTCTCCGGTGCCTGTCGTGGCGGCAATCCCCGAACCCGGTGGTGGACACCGGAGGTAAGGGAAGTCGTCAAGCTTAAGAAGGAGTCCTACCGAGCCTGGTTGGTTCGTAGGACTCCTGAAGCAGCCGACGGGTACAGACAGGCCATGCGGCTCGGGTAGTCGCAGAAGCAAAAACTCGAGTCTGGGAAAAGTTCGGGGAGGCCATGGAGGACTACCGGTCAGCCTCGAAGAAATTCTGGCGAAACATCCTGCGCCTCAGGAAGGGGAAGCAGTTTCCCACCACTGCTGTTTACAGCGGAGGGGGGGGACTGTTGACCTCGACTGAGGATGTCGTCAGGAGGTGGAGGAACTCCTCAATCCTGCTGACACGTCTTCCGCGGAGGGAGCTAAGGCTGAGGACTCAACAGCTGATCCTCCCATCTCCTGCGCTGAGGTCACTGAGTCAGTCAAAAAGCTGCTCGGTGGAAAGGCTGGTCTCACTGATTGTCGTGCTGCAGCAAGCAAGGCAGGACCCCACCTTCAAGGACGGCTCTTGACATCCCCAGAACAAGAAGAAGGAACCATCCAGGACACTCGGGGAGTAGGAGGTAAGATCAGAGGTTGCCATCTGAACCAGCCAAGCTGCTTCCCTCCCTACCAGAAGCCAGAGATGGAGAAATGCTTCCATTAGGAATGTGAGAAGGAGGAAAATGTTGTGGATGCCTCGACCGTGGTGCTTGGGAACCTAATTGTTCTCCTGTATGCAGTTAGTGGAACTCCTGAATCAGGAATCTGTCCAAAATGTGGTGGGATGTTACATGACACTCCTCTCTGGACCGTATCCCTCCCAATCCACTAAATACTGGAGACCCCTTCCTCTTCGGGCGAATTATTATTATGCGATGCACTGTGTATGTCAATCCCCCGTCAATCAGGCCAGATGGAGGCAGTTGGACTGAGAAAAAGATCAACAAATCTGGCACACTGAAAGTCTTGTTGCTGAACTGGTCATGGTATGGTGTGCATATTCCACCCACAGGAGAAGTTCAGAGCAGGGAAAGGGGCGTTCAGATTTGATGCAGTGGAGGGTTGTTTCAAGAATCTGGTTAACCCTCTCTGCCTGCCCACTGGACTGAGGGTGGAACCTCGAGGAGAGACTCACTGTGGCACCAATCAGTGAGGCCATGGTTCTCGACCGGAAAAAGGTGGTTTGCACCCTGCGGGTTGGGGAGGAAGTCCTGCCTCAAGTGGAGGAGTTTAAGTATCTTGGGGTCTTGTTCACGAGTGAGGGTAGGATGCAGCGTGAGATTGACAGGCGAATCGGTGCAGCGGCCGCAGTAATGCGATCGCTGTATCGGTCCGTTGTGGTGAAGAAGGAGCTGAGCCGAAAGGCGAAGCTCTCGATTTACCGGTCAATCTACGTTCCTACACTCACCTATGGTCATGAGCTTTGGGTCATGACCGAAAGAACGAGATCCCGGATCCAAGCGGCTGAAATGAGCTTTCTCCGCAGGGTGGCAGAGCGCTCCCTTAGAGATAGGGTGAGGAGCTCAAAGTAGAGCCGCTGCTCCTCCACATCGAGAGGAGTCAGCTGAGGTGGCTTGGGCATTTACCTCGCATGCCCCCCGGACGCCTCCTGCTCGGGTTCCGTCCCTCTGGGAGGAGACCTAGCACACGCTGGAGTGACTATGTCGCTCAGCTGGCCTGGGAGCACCTCGGGGTCCCCCCAGAAGAGCTGGAGGAAGTGTCGAGGGAGAGGGAAGTCTGAGTGTCCCTGCTCAGACTGTTGCCCCCGCGACCCGGCCCCTGATAAGCCGTTGATGATGGATGGATGGATGGATGGATGGATTTAACCTTAGACAGTGATTTTGACATGCAGTAATATGGTTATACAGAATATTTATCCTGACAGAAAAAGTGGACCAGCATATAGTTGTAATAACACTACTTCCCTCCCCCTCTTTTTAATTGTTCTTGTCTTAATGCTATCTCCATGTGTGTAGGATGTAGGTGGTTTATTTACTATTATTTGTATATCAGTTGTGGATCAGCACTGAGGCCAAAGAATGACAGATTCATATGTCGTTGTTTATTTTCCTCAACCTTTCACTTCTTTGACAAACCTTATTATGTTATGACTTCTTTAGTAAGAATCCAGATTTAACCCTGTGCTTGGTTGCCATAGTTGTGGTGTGCTATGTTAATAAGACCCCCCTGTTGTTCCCTGACATCTACATTACAATGACAATATGTTTCATAGTGCACAAATACAAATTTGTAATCTAAGTCAGGGGTCTCAGTGAGCTGAGGGTCACTGCTGCCACCATCTTTTCATTAGGAGGCCACATAAATTTTTGGTGTTCCTAATTTAAAAAAATAGCTATTTATTTCAAATAAACACTGTATAATACTACATAGTATACCTTTAGTTAAACTAGTACACGTTTTCTCACACTAAATCCTCCAACTAAAGCAATATAATAAATAAAGAAAACTATTGAAAATAAATTTAAAAAGAAATCACCTTAAAAGCAAATGATCTTAGTATGGTCTTTTGAGATCTTAGTATGATTATTGATTTATTTATTATTAATATAGTAAGAAATGTAATAATAATAGTAATAATTTGAGGTGGACCTGTAACACAATAATTTAACAAAAAAACAAAACATTTTTTAATACAGCATTAAATTAGGTGCAAAAAGGAAAATAATGCATTCTTCTGCTTTCAAAAGTGAAGGTAAAATTAGCATTACCCATCAAATACTAGGATTTATTTCATATATATTTCAATATGTGTCTCTGCGGATTTTCAACTTTTGGATACATTTTTTCCAAAGAGGTTACAAATCTAATAATTTGTTTTAATATTTTAACAGAGCATGCTGTTAATTTTACAAGTGAGTGATGGCCTTTATTCAATGTCTTTCTACACAGGCGATGCTGTTGTATATGGAGCACACACAGCTACTGTGGTAATCAAGGCCAATGATGATGCAAATGGGATGTTCTCACTGGAATCTACAGAGAAACCTGTTGAAGAAGGACAGACAAACAATTTCTAGTATGGAACATTAATAACAACTTGAGTTGTTTCAGGTTTCTTTTTACACAAACCTTGCTTTCTTCTGTGTCTGTATTCTTGAACCATATTTTGTTTTGTCTTTTTACAATAGCGTCTTGCGTGCAAGGGGCCATTTTGGAAACGTTACAGTCTTCTGGCAGTTATTTGTTAATGACTCGGTGACTCCTTTGGATGAAAACCAGGAGTTTACCAATACATCTGGCTTCATCACTTTCACAATGGGCGAAAAGACCAAGCCCATCACCCTGGAGGCTCTCTCTGATAAACTTCCAGAGTTCAATGAGTTCTTCATTCTTAAATTGACTAATATTTCAGGTAAGCTCACGATCATGAACAATGTGTGTCATTAGCTTATTTAGTTCAGAAGTGTACTCATCATTAAGCTGCTGCCTATAATTCCTTTAAGGTGGTTTCCCAGGAGAAGGTGGACAACTGGCTGAGGGTTTCCTGAATGCCTCTGTTCTCATCCCATTTAATGATGACCCATTTGGTGTCTTTGCCATTGCTGACAAAAACCTGGACCAAGAAGTGGCTGAAGATGTACTCTCAGATGATGACATGTCTGACATTGCGTCCTTCACCATCCTCCGTCACCAGGGTACTTTTGGTGATGTTAGGGTTGCTTGGGAGATCGTCTCTGGCAGTTTCCCAGAGGGCCTTCCTTTGATGGATGACCTGCTCCTTCTAGCATCCTTCCCAGATGAGGTCGAACTCAGGCCTCATGCCAGAAGGCACCACTCAGCCACAGACACGTGGTTTTTCTCTGGCCTCCCTGGAGCTTATGGTACTATCTGGCCTGAAGATGGGCCTGCTGCTGTCAGCAACTTCACCTTTTCTGCTTGGCTGGTGCCAAGACCAGATACGGATGGCTTCATAGTCTCCAAAGGAACCAAGAACGGCACTATTTATTATGGAGTAAAGTTCCATACTAATGAGTCCCATGTCACAGTGATGCTATACTACACAGTAACTGCATCGAACATCACTCACCTGGCCAGAGCCAGCACTAGGAAGTTTATAGAGGATAATACATGGGTTCAAGTCATTATTACTGTGGATGACGGGATTATTGTGATCTACTTAGATGGAAAACCTATTCCTGGTGGTCTGAAGAGCATCAAAGGAGAGGGCATCAGAGACGGTGAGTCGCTTTCCACAATTTTTCTCTGATTAAACACTTTGTGCCAAACAAACTGGGTGGTATAACTGGTGCAATCCATAGTCTTTGCAAACTAATATTTATTCTTATTTAAAATTAACAGTAAATTAAAAAAAAATAAGTATGTTAAAAAAGTCAAGTTGCCACAATGTGTTGTGGCAGCAGTTTGTTTTGCTAACATTTTTTTCTGAGCATGATCTCCCACATGAACCCTTTGTTCCACCACTATTGTCTTAATTATGTTTGTTAATCCTAAATCCAAATTCCAGGGTTTATTGTTGGGGGTTACAGTAGGTACAAAACCTACTAACTCTTTGACAAGTATTAGTTTCTAATTTTGTGTGTGTGTTATTCGGACAAAAGCTACTTCAAAGCGACTCTCTCATTGAGAACATATGGAAGAACAATAAGACCAAACTTGTAGCAGAAGTCTAAGCATGAATTAATTGACAAAGACAGACACAGGCTCAAACCCTCAGTCCCTTTCCCATTGTTCACAGTGGGGACCGTGCATCGCTTGAGTGGCCACTTAACCTTGACCCTGCTGGATATTATTACTGCTAAATGAAATCAGTCGGCATTTTCTTTTCTTACAATTCTCTCTGATTAATCGGACAATCATGACAACCAGGATTGCAACAAATAGTCCCAGAGAGGATATGGTTGACCTGAGACATG